GGGGGGGGGGGGGGGAGTTGCCCCTGCAGCCCGCCGCGCTGTGCACATCCCTGTTAGATGTGTATTATGTTTTACTTTAAAATCTTATTTGCTATCATATTTATTATAATAAGTGATGAAATATTTCAATTGTCTCATGTCATCTCATTATTCAGTTCCTTTCAAGATGTGAATCAAGTTTTTTCGCAGATACATGTACGCGTTGCGTACCTATTTTTGAAGCTTGTTGTTGATAGAGTGGATCAAACAACAATTTGAAGATTGTAATGGACTTACTGCTCTCCCCAATAAATTGCAATGGGATACATCTGTGGGAAAATTTCTGCATAAACATTGCTTCTTTATACAGCATGTCAACAATACTGTAAATCAATTGCTTTTCAATAACTGTTATTTGTAATCTGTTTAATCGTTTGAGGAAACAATTGCCATAAACACCATTCCCAATTGATTCACTGCTTATCTCGAGCTCTTCCAATTCTTCATGCCGGATGATGTTAACACCCACCGTACTTTTGCTGGATATGTTCAAATGAGTTACCTTCGAAATATATTTTTCATCAATAAGATGTGTAAAACAGGACTTTGGGGACAGAGGGTTGGTTGGGGGGAGGTGCTGTGTTAGGGATGACCCTTTATATAGTATAGAATGTCATCAAATTTTATGAACTTGAAAATATATACTGACAATAATGTATTAGGGACCGTTCATTATTTATGGAAGGGGGGAGGGGAATATTTTCTTCCCTAAATTTTAAAAATTGAAAGCCCCCTAAAAAAGCAGAAATTCAAGGGTGACCCCCCTTCCTATTACAACTTTTTTTCTTTGACCCCCCCCCCACCCCCTTCCTTAAATAATGGCCGGTCCCTTCGCCTGTATATATCTATATCTATATTAATATATTTTATATACTGTAGGTACTGGTGGCCAAGAATTATTAATAAAGTATTGTAATATTCATGTACCTATTAATATTTGTATACCTTTTTTATATTGGTTTCTCTGGTGTCCAACTTGTTTTGTAATTTTTTGTTAGTTTCTGCACTTCTCCTCCAAAGCTTATAATAATTTGAAGCAATGCTCCTTTGCTCGTCGAATTTTGAACATCTAAAAGGGGGTGGGTCATTGAAAATTTTACAACAGTTTGGGGGTGGGTCATAGTAAAATGTGATTGATTTCTATAGATCAGATCAAATCGTTCCTCGGCGATAGCACTATTCCTGGAACCCAAAATCAGGTGCCTTTTGTCTTTGTCGTTTGACAGTAAAAATGTATTAGTATTTCATCATTTTTAAGCATTTATGACAGCGCCGCACTGTGCGTAGTAATCAGTAATGGCTTATGTTAGAACGCTTACGACGTGACGAGTGGCAAAAATGGGCGGTAACATATACATTTCATCGCCGGACATTTTATGTGGCAATAAAAATAATAGTTTTGCCGGACAAAAGCGATTTTGACTTTTTCAGCCGGACAAATGTCCGATGTTCGGCGATATTTCGAGGCTTGTGCAACCAAAGTCAAAGTCACATAACGCTCGCTTGCCCGCCTGCTCGCATGCGTGCATGCATGCATGGATGTATGTATAGTTACTTCAGCGGGTTTAAAAAATAAAGCATCCGGTTTCCTTTCCACGATCGGCCACTACTTACACTACTGATTATGACCGCAACCCATGTTATTTATCCGCTTTGTTGGAAGTGGTTATTTGTCCGCAACCGGATACTTATGTGCCAACGCTATTTGTCCGGCAGAGCGGGTGTTATAATGCACCCTGGGATGTTGGGAGAACACTCGAATATCGTGCAAATTACTGGGCTATCGCCTCGTGTTTTACACGCTTTCCTAGTGTTTCCCAACACTCCTCTACTGTTACTCTGGTTATGGACCATACTTTGGTGGAGGTGCTGATCTATAGATCAGCACCTGATCTGTAGATCAGCACCTCCACCAAAGTATGGTCCATAACCAGAGTAACAGTAGATCGCAAACTTCTCTTGACCTTCCTTGATGTTGGCAATAATTAGAGGAAGGTTGTCTTTGTTCCGTAGTGAGAACAAATATGAAGAGTTAGAATGTTTATAAATACCACCATCTAGAACAAACAATGCTCAAGTTAGTGAATCATACAGCAATTCTGGAAGCTCATATCAACTTCCCCCAGATTATGTCTGTGGCAGTGAACAAGCAAGGAGTCTTATTGCTGGTCAGTTCAAGTTCTTAACAACAGAAATTGAAGTCTTGTGAGTTACATTCATTTAAGAAAAATAACGTCACACTAATTATCACCAGCCTTAACAATACATTTTACACAGTGAATGGTAGACAGTGCGTTACTTCTAATTACTATTATACTGTAAAGTATTAAAAATTGGCATGAAATGTTAAGTCGGTTAGCCTGGGTAACAAAAAATGGCCATGCAGAACGAAAGTGTGTCTTTGGCCAACGAAGAAAATGTGTTCATACCTTTGGAAATAAAGAAAAAAGTTGCTTTTTCGAAGATTTTGAAAATTTTTAAACAATTTGAATAAAAAGGCATTAGTTCATAATGTTCAAAACTGGACACTGCATGCTTTTCGACATTGTTAAGCGCCGGCTTATAAAGCCTCAAGCCAATGATGCGACTTTGTGATTTTTCAATTCTGCTCAAAAGTAGACTAAATTTTTGCTTACGTTGACCATCATGTAGTCTTGTTCTGTTGAGTAAGAACCATTGCAACTTACATACCCAGTAGATCAATTAGTACCTTAGGTTTAAAATTGTAATAGAATGATATATAATGAAATGTCAATAATTATTTATTAAATTTTGTTTCAGTAATCACGAACATTCGACAAAAACTGTGGCGTAACTGGAGAGTGTTTGGGTGTCCAGAGGCGGGGGGCCCCACGCCTGGGGGGATCCGGCAAAATGACCATAAAATTTTTGCTTGCATTGGGCAAATTGGCCCGAGCCTCAGTTATAGCCGAGAGTCAGAGAATTTGTAACGGGTGGCCCCCAATAGCAGGAATTGGTAAATTGTGAAATTTAATATGGACTCCCTTTTTGGTAGACATGGATAGGGAAAACATACGGCCCCACTTAAAAATTCGAAAGGAGGGCCTCAGGAGGTTCCGTTACGCCACTGGACAAAACCAAGCATGTAAAATTTTTAATACAGTACATGAACAACTATAAATATTTTAGATATTTTGTAATATCAAATAGACACGATACAATGCAAATACAAAAGAAAAATTTCTGCTTGCTCTGTTGGTCAATTGAATTAAACAAGCAAATATGTTTTAGGATTAGATAAGGTTTGTGATGAAGTTTTAATGCTCCTTTGTGAAGTTCGAGAGAACGTTTTATATTTTGAAGTGCGAGTTGGCGCGAACGATAATTTGATACATTTTTTAAACGCATGAGTGGCAGTATAACTATACGAGTACTAGCTTCGTAATTCGGAAAAGACTACGAAAGATGATTACCGTATTTCGTCCCATGCTTCTGCAGTTTAGCCACTTTCCCTCAAATTAGTTCCCAGTCTAGAAGGAATAAACTCCAAACCTCTACCCCTACTCTCTGTTAATTAATATATACTTAAAGCAGAATAGGAACGTTATATAGAGAGATGCATTTATTTAATCGAAACCAGTATTTAAACGTCAGAAAAATACGTCTTGTTTTCTCTCTGAAATTTCTGAGGTGGTTAACTTTATGACTTTGAGTTTTCCGTTTTGTTTTCTTTCGGAGTTCATTATATCAGTGATACGGAATGTCCTGATAAGACTGAATAAAATGCACTTGTATGAACTTTGTATGATTTGTTCTCTTTATGCTCCTGAAAGGATGATTTTGTTTATTAAAACATTTCTAAAAACGTGAAAATCTATTTAGCCCCCATTCTTTATTTAGACCTCCTTCTGATAAGCTCCAGCTAGGGTAAATAGAGGGATACGTAATTTCCGCTCGTATTTTAATTATACAATATTTGACAAAATAGTTGAGATCTTTAATTTCTGTGATTACACTGGCGTCGTAAACGTATATTTAATAAAAACAACCAAGTGACCGACAGAAACATAAATTATTGAAAAAACACATTACATATACTTTCATTGCAGAAATTTCTGGAATTATAAAGTTAACCATCCGTTAGAAATTAAAGCTACACTCCGTGAACGCTTAGCCTTGTACTACAGAACTTACCAAATGAAGATGTTTAAATAGTACATATACATACATGAACTTGTGGTTATAGACAACTGGCTTCTGTCGTTCAGTTGGTTAGAGCGCTGCACCGGAATCGCAGGTTCGATTCCTGCCAGGGACCTATTGTTGCATTTTCGCAGCTGTTCCTGCTTAGGTCTAATAAATGTATATAAATTTTCACTCGATAATTACCATCTACAAGACCCATCAACTATTGTCGAATCGTGTGAGGTGCCAACAAAATCTCGATACTTGTCAATAGAGAGGTTAAGATACCCCGGTTTACGGGTACGAGTATCGCCATTTTGTGTACCAATTTTTGCTGATGTCAGCATTTTTACTCGTAATATCTACCCGTTTTCCCGCGGTAAAGCATGGTCTAGACGTAAACGACAAACGAGTACGGGTGTTTTCTGCTTACTATTTCTGGGCTGTTTCAATAGTAAAAAACTTCAACATCTTACCCAAGCAAATAATGCACATATGCTCGTCAAAGTTTTCAACAATCTATGGCGAACCTCAACAGCGAAAGTCATCATTTTCTGACGCAGGAATATCTTGGATTTCTTAAGTTACAAGTCGTTCCCCGATTTACGGGTACGTGTATATCACCCGGGGTATCTTAACCTCTCTAATAATACCCTCACACGTCCACAATTTGACTCCTTAAAATATTAGTTATTTGCATCCTAAATCAGTGGGGCGGAACAGGTTTTTATTGGGGGTTTAATTTCGCAGTTTGTAGCTAAGTGCAATCACGACAGGCAAGACATATCCAACTCTCACAGTAATAGTGTCAGTACCAGGCCAAAACTAGGAGGTCTGTGGCCATGCTTCCACGGAAAAATGGAAAATCGAGACTCGTAAATGCTATTTACTGCACTTTCTAGCACTGAATTGAAGAATTCTGAGAAGAAAATGCTGCAAGAATGCCTCATGAGTTGTTATGGTGGTTTCGATGTATTGTTGGGGCCTAAAATCGCCAGGAAATTGGCATAGTTGAACTATCTGGCTATGACTATTTTTAGGGTATATTGTCTCCTGATATAGCTTTAATTCAGATTTATTGAAATTCCTTAGGTTTAAATGAAAAAGCTATAAATTGTGGTCCTAAATTACAGTTCTTATGTTCTTACTTCTGAGGTTAATAATGACCTAATATTTGTTCCAGATTAATGGTTGCACGTTGTTGAAAATGGGATAATAGAGACCTTACGATGTAGGACGGCAACGCAACGACAACGGCCAGAATAAAATTATTCAAGTAAACGATTGTAAAGAATATTTGAGGACTATTATTGATCGTATGAATTTAAAACTGTTTGGTTAGCTTGAAATAGTGGATTTATTGTTGAGAAAGTTCCGCTGTAGGACTGAGCTAATTTGCTGAGTATCACTTTTCGCGTCTTGAAATGCAGGCGTTGTGTCCAAGACGTAAAAGTCTGCAGTTTCCCGTTGTAAACAGACCATGCATGACGTCTCAAACTCCTACAGGATATTAATTATTCATTTCTGTTCTTAAAATTATGAATCTCACTGTACGAATAGCCGTCGTCATCACGTTGCCGTCCCACATCGTAAGGTCTCTAATATTCATTGTTACCAACGTTTGTTAGTAGGAAAATCACTAACAAATACACGATCCATTTTGTCGTCTGCCAACAAAGCCCAAAAAACATTTTCTTTCAAGATGATCAATACGACCTAAATGTTTTAATTGTAAAGCTACGATCTTCTATAGCAAGAAGGGTGCCACCGTCATTCGATCTCCTCCAACTATCACCGGCTTGTATTTTCACAATAAACAGTTTAGCAGGTTTGGGGGCTTCTGAGTATTGTGGACCACTTTTTCAAAATGGTGCCTTTCTTTTATCTCCTATTAAAACCATTTTATCTCCAATCTTTGACTGCGGGGGCGCCGTGGGGGCTAAGGGGGGGGGGGGGGGCTTTAACCCCAATTATATACTGTATAGTTCAAAAGGCCCTGATTCATGCTCTTATTCGATGATTTATAAGACCATGCATGAGAGAAAGTGAAGGCTTGCGATCAAATACTCATTCTCTATCTATCACAAGGTCTAACCACTATAAGCAAGTCCATTAGACTACGTACAACGAATAGTCGATTTGTTAATATAGAAATTCAATTATGATTTACATTATAAGGTCTATGGAAAAAATTATGCCAAATTGAATAACAAATTTCCCTGAACCTAAAAACAGATTGCTTGCAAATTGCTTGCAGTGTCAAAAGTATAATATGTACAATTCTTACCCAGTTACTCATTTTATGTAGAAGTGTTTTAAAGTGTTCACTGTGTTGTTGTTCATCGGTTGCTGAAATGTCATTGTCCTTGTTGTTGTTGCTGTTGTAGTCGGCAAAACGTTAATGGAATCGTTATGGTAAAGAAGACAACGCGTACGCCGGTCATTGGTCATTGTCCAAATGAAGAAAGCTCCAGGCAGACATATAAAACGATTTAGATTGACTAAAATTTTGTCTGGTGCTTCAAGTTTTTGATAACTTAATCGGAATCATTTGAATCAATATTTGCAAAAGTTTATTGTAATTCAATGATTACTTATCGGCGCGAAAAGCTAACTATGTCATTTGAGAAAGGTCCTTTCCACTAAACGAGAAACTATTTATTGTTACCAACGTTGATAAGCTGGAAAATCGCCAACAAAAACACGAACCATTTTGTTTTTTGCCAGCTGAGCCCAAAAAAACATTTTCTTCCAACCATAACTGTTACAGTTTGAGCCACACTCTCTTACAAGATGATAAATACGACCTGAATGTTCATGTACATCGAGATCTCCGTTAATTGTCAGGCTACGATCTTCTATAGCAAGAAGAGTGCCTCCCTCATTCGATTTCCTCCAACTATCAGCGGCTTGTATTTTTACAATAAACAGTTTATCAGGTTTGGGGGCTTCTGCGTATTGCGGACCACTTCGTTCAAGCCAAGAAAATGGCGCCTTTATTTCAACTCCCTTTAAAACTTTTTTATCACCAATTAAACAGGATGACAATGGAAGAACCTTTACCAAAACGCTGTATTTCTCTAAAAGCCGAGCACAATTGTTCTTATGCCTTTTCCAGTCACTTCTTTGGCATTCTCCATTGCAGTATTTCGCAGTAAAACATCTGGGACATTTCTTTAATTGGCCTTGTTTATGACAGAAAAAACAAATTTCAGGAACCTCTTGCGAAGGTGGCTCACTTTCTCTTTCTATGTTATTTTTTAATTTATTTTCAGTGCATTTTGCTTTTATGAAATTCTCTTCGCTTGCGAACAAGACTTCAAGGCTCGGAAATGCACTACCAATTTGATCATCAAATGCATTCTTTTCGTCAATACCAGGTCCTTTGTTGCCAAGAATCTCGTTGAATTCAACAATAGACTGTTGATGACCTGGCGCCTTTTTGTTCGGTTCAACATGAATACCACCACATTTGTTTTGATATATTTTGTTTCGAGAAATACGGCACCAAGCATCACTTGTTTTAGTAATCCCCTGCCAACCATTCTCAAAGATTTCATTTTCCTCTATAATTGCGGATGAATTTTTACAAACATAAATCCCATGACGGTCATTGTGAAATATTTCATTGCGTGTGAGCTCTACCTTTCCGTTCTCAACACCTACGCCAATTTTCTTGTTATCATAAATTTGACAACCCGTAACATCACACGCAGCAGACCTAACATCTAAACCCCACTGATTCCCGTGAAGTTTGCTGTTCTTAAGCACAAGATTTCTAGGTTTGCCAACTTGCAATCCAATAGACATATTACCTGAAAATACGGAGTCTTCAACTTCAGCGCTGCCAGCAGCGCACAAAGCCGTACTTCTGCAGTTGATAAACTGGCATTTCTTGACACTTAGACTACCCTGTGACACAAAAGCACGATCATCTATATTACTGGTAAACGAACAGTTAAAAAGCCTGACCATGGACGCACACTTGCACCACCAGTTTCCCAAGTCAAATATAAAAGAAAGGTTAACAGCGTTGAAATTTTGAGAAAGCAATAAACCAAAGTTACTACCAAAGGATAATGTTACACCAGGTTCAGACGAGCTATCACCAACACCAACAAGACAAAACCCGCCCATCCACAAACGTTTCACCTTGGAGAATTGATCTTCTTCAGTTCTAAACCCGTCAATACACTCCGCAGAAAGACAGTACTTTCCAGGCTCGAGAACAATAATTTTGCTCGGCATATCAGAAACAATTCCGTATACCAACTGAGAAAGCAAAGAAATTAGTAAAGAAACGTTATCACAAACACAAATGGATTGCTTTAAATTAGGAAATGATGTTTGGAATGGTGGAAAGTGCTCAAATACTTCCCGATCATGATAAAATGCTAAAGCTGCAGCGCACAGTGCATCCCACTTTTCATTCAAGCCTTGAAGAGCCAAGGCTCTCTTAGCATAACCTCTCCAACACTCAGGGGAATACTTCATGTATTCTTCAGCATCATTCAGGGCATTATTGAACTGCTTTAACCTGAGATAAGCAGAAGCACGATTGCTAAGCAACTTGGGATCAAAGGAATTTGTTCCTTTTGTTCTATCGATACCAGAGGAATATGTCTCTATAGCTTTCTGGAAATGACTTTCCATAAAAAATTCATTACCTTCCAAGCGCATTATTTCAATTTCTGATTTCAAAGAATCGTTAACAGAAATCTTAGAGGTAGAAAGATTGTTTGTGTCAAGAGGTGCCTTACAGGAATATCGGATATGCCCTCGAAGAAACTCTGAGAGAGGAAACATATGTGGAAATAAAGCTTTTACCCGTTCCTCTGAAATCTCCTCGTCATTCCAGTCAAGAATGCGATAAGCAAAGTTGGCAACAGCATATGCCTGACTAGTATAATTATTAACATTTAAATATACTGCACATTCATATACTATTCTCGCTACTTCAGGCAGAAAGACAGTTTTCTCTTTTACATCACGGAAGATATTTAGAAACGTCTCAAGATTAATTTTAATTTCACATGCATGCAAACACATTTTACGCCACTTGTAGAAGCGGGAAGAATCAGTTAAATGAAGAGAAGATCGATCGGCATGTTCATTAACTTGATTTTCTAATAGAACATCTGGAGAAGGACAATTTAAAAAGGCAAGACCCAACAAACGAGCTGCGTCAACAATGCTTTCAACTTTCTCTTCCGGCTTAAGATGCTCTTGAATGACATCCTGGACTAAGCGATGAACTGCTAGGGAAGAGTTATGTGTTTCCTTAAAAAGTGAAAAATCGGTCAGGAGTTTCAGGACTTCAAGAGAACCTAAAGGAGAGCTCACATGATCACAATATGCTTTGTCATCAATCCGGGGTTCTCCGACGTTAATGAGTTCCTTTTGAATTTCATTGGGATTCATAAACGCGGTAGCATTAATGAAACGAATGGCGATCATTCCATGTTCATTCTTTCGGATATGTTCAAAGTTGAGAAGCCATGTTGTACGGACGGCTAATCGTTCTTGAGATGTTCCGTAAGGGGAAGTTGCTTTCTTTTTGTTGAGAAGTTGAAGGGATTGTTTCTCGTACAAATCTAAGTAGGCGGATAATGTGCATCCAAGGTACTTGATATAAGCACAAGCCTGTTCTAATGCCAATGGTAATCCACCAAGTTTTTGAAATAGAAGATCTACATTCTTGTCTACGTCAAGGAAAAGATCATATTTAAATTACTTATAATATGATTAAATAATTAATCAAGTGCTTATTTTAATTTTTTTGCAGAGATTAGTGATTGCATTTCAGGACTTCGAAAAATTCACGAGAAAACGTTTTGTTCATCTTATTTTTTTACTAAGTTGTTGGAATTGAAATGTTGGGAATGCTATTGAGCGTCTACCACACAATTCAATTTCAAATTTTGTACTAAATTTATGTGGAATTGCATGCAAGTGCACTTTTCGAAAGAAATTTTAGTGCCTACTGCTTTCAGCCAATCAGAATTGAGAATTATTTCCCAATTATTTCGAACCATCACATAGTTTTAAAAGTACATATATATGTACCGGAGAGTTAGCTAACCTTCCACTTCATCGCCAACAATCCCGATCCTTTTGAACACGAATTTCTTCGCCTCCTTCAAACTAAAGCACTCAAGCGTAAGGCATCTGGATTCCTTGAAACCAAGGATAGCTTCTTCTAACTCCTGCGATGTTCTTCGAGTTGTTGCAATAAGATGTCCAAAGCACGCGACGTTTGCTTGCCACGATCCCAACACCAGCTTCAATAAATTTTGCGAAAGATTAGATTCATCCATATCATCAATGACCATTAGCCATGGTTTAGTAATGCGCGAAAACACCGCCAAGGTTTTGGATAATGTAGCTTCAAGTGAGTTGTCATGAAGTGTATTGAATTGTGCAGCAATATCGTCAACGGAAGCTTTCAGCTTGATATCGTTTTCCCCAGAAAACCAATAGACGCCTCCATGATAGTAGTGTTTCCATTTGTGTATATATTCTGCAGTAAGACTTGTTTTCCCGTTTCCTCCCAGGCCAGATACGGCTGCTACGGTTACTTTCTCTTCACTGTCATTCATCAGCATAATTCGAAGTAAAGCCAGTTCGGATTCCCGACCACAGAACCACTTAGTTTGCTTTGGCGCCATGAAAAGATGTCGTGGTTCTTCCTTGCGTTTCCTTTCGATTGTTTCCTTCAAAGTGAGCTGTCCTAATCTCAATTCTTCGACATATTCTTCAGTGCGGAGTTGTCTTTCTTTCAAATCTTGGATTTCTTGTTTCAAAGATTTCTCGATGGTTTCCAGGGCGTTTAAAAGTTTACTCTGTACGCAGAAAAGAAATATAAAATAATGTTTTCAACTATAAACAATTTATCAAACCACCTTCCCCTTCCCCAAGTAGCCCTTATACTTAACGGTTCTATATAATTATTATGAACTGAGTATACCTGATCATTCTCTACATCTTCTTTCCACAATTTTATAGACTCTCGAAGCTCAGCAACCTCTCGAAGTTCGCAACCTTAAAACAATAAGAACATATTGTATTATCGGCGTCCATTTGTATAAGTTTATGCTCAGTGCTTTATTCTACACACAAGTATACACATGAGTCGTTTTCAAGAGCGGTATGGAAATTGTAGGGAATAGAGCTTTCTAAACTTTTTGATATTATTTTTCACTGTCGAGAACAACTTGAATGATCTGATTTATAATAAGTTTTATTAATACTTTCATTGAATCGCTTCGAAACGTTTTTATTGCCCAAAGATGGAGGACATAACAAATTTTAAGATTAGCTATAGCATGAACTCGAAGGTTAATAATGGTTTTCCGTGCAGGATGGCGTCATCCATGCACGCGGGATGTTGCGAGACATTTGGAAAGCATATAAACACAAGCCTCAGACAGGGCGCTGTAGTGTCCAGTAACACTCGGTGAAGTGAGCCCGCGAGGACGGTGTACGAACGTTCATAGTACGTTTTAGATCAGGATTGTTGACGTTAAGTTTATCGGGAATTTATGTGAATTTAAAGCAATAAAGTGAGACCTTTACATTGGCGACGAGGATTAAGAGAACCCACCAGTAACAGTGAGTGAATTGAGCATAAAATTGAAACAAATTAAAGTCGGTTTAGCGAATATATTCAGCGAATAATCAAGCATGGCAAATTTGCCATCGTTTCCACCCTTCGATGTCGAGGCAGATAAGGCCAATGCAGGCCCTCGTTGGAAAAAGTGGATCGGAAGACTCGAGAACTTATTAGTCGGCATGAACATCAACAATGAC